GACATTCCCAAACTCATTTGACCCAGGTATCTGTTTGGCAAGGTTGTGCCTTGGGACTAGCTCACCACAGAGGAAGCTTTCAGAAAGGCTGACAGAGTGAGGGACACCAAGTTGGCAGTCAAAAGCCCAAGGTTCTACTTCAGGCTCTGAAAATCTCATGAGCTCTGGGGCTTCATTTTCTCCTCTGTGAGATGAGCATGTGAAATAAGACCACTTAAGTCAAGTGCCTAATACCATGCATGGCACATAGCAACCAAACCAGGTGCTATTGAGTCCCTTCTGACTCATGGCAACCCCATGAGTGTCAGAGTAGAACTGTGCCCCATAGGGTTTTAGCGGCTGATTTTTCAGAAGTAAATCACCAGGCCTTTCTTCTGAGGCACCTCTGGGACTTGAACCTCTGACCTTTCAGTTAGTAGTCAAGTGCATTAACTGTTTTCACTACCAAGGGACTCATGGCACATAGTAGGTACATTAATAAATACTTGTTACTAATATGAGTAGTCCAGTTTCAAAATCTCATTTATACACAAAAAATAAAATCTGTGTTCCCTGGCGCCATATCAGTTTATAGCACCCTCTCACCCTCCGCTCAGCAGGGAAAAAAAAAAAAAAGAATATCATAGATGTCCTAGGTGAGCACTCTTGCTCTAAGGCCTGCAGTCCCTCACCCATCTGTTAAAGCGAGCCTAGGGTTCTGCTGAGTCGAGCATCACGGACGGTCAATGTCCTCCATACATGCTAATGGATCTGGGACACTCCTCAGGAAGAATTTCCACATGTAACAGATGCTCAGCCTGCCCTGGAAGGGCAATTTCCGGTCTAGACACTCATATATATGCCAAGGGGATTGAGTTCCTTCTTGCTGGCCAGTCCAGAGCTCCAGCTGAGGCTCGGAGCAGCAGCTGGCAGACAGCTGACCTGGGGCTCTGCTCTCTTATGTTTTGATGGATGAATGACACAGAGTGGGAGCAGCTGCGAGTGTGTGTGTGCATGCCACTCCCAGATGTAGTCATGACTTGGTAGAAATACTTATGGAAGGTATGCAGTAGACCAGGCAAGTATTGTTACCCTCCTTTTACAGACAAGGAGCCCATGTGGTGCAGTGGTTAAGAGCTCAGCTGCTAACCAAAAGGTTGGCAATTCAAATCCACCAGCTGCTCCTTGGAAACCCTATGGGGCAGTTCTACTCTGTTCTATGGGTCGCCATGAGCTGAAATCGACTTGACGGCAACGGGTTTGGTTTGTTTTTTTGAGGGGTTTACAGACAAAGGACTAGAGGTTCAGAGAGGTACAGGGGTCTTTCCAGGTGACTCTACTAGTCAGTGGCAGAGCCCGGTATGAGAACAGGCTTTTGGCTCCTAGGGCATCACTCTTCCCACTCTGTGAAGAATATATATACATATACACATATATATATCAAGCCCATAACCATGGGGCATATACCTATGGGGTTGCCTTGAGTCAGAATTGACTCAATAGCTTACAACAAAACAACAAGAACCCAGAAGTGGAATGCTGAGTCATATGGTAATTCTATGGAAACAGGTCAGCAATTTGAATCCACCAGGCACTCCTTGGAGACTCTATGGGGCAGTTCTACTCTGTCCTATAGGGTTGCTATAAGTCGGAATCGGCTCAACAGCAATGGTTTTTTTTATTTTTGTTGTTGTTTTTTAACAGTAATTCTATTTTTTACTTTTGGAGGAACCACCAAACTGTTTTCCACCAAAGCTGCACCATTTTACATTCTTACCAGCAATGCATGAGGGTTTCATTCTTGGCAACACTTGTTATTTTCTGAAAATAGCCATCCAGTATCAGCTGCTAACCAAAAGGTCAGCAGTTCTAATCCACCAGCCGCTCCTTGGAAACCCTACGAGGCAGTTCCACTCTGTCCTATAGGGTCGCTATGAGTCAGAATCTACTCAACGGTAATGGGTTATAGGAGTTCTTTATTTACTCTGGATATTAAACCCTTGTCAGATATACAGTTACCAAATATTTTCTCCCATTCTGTAGGTTGTCTGGGCATAGATCTTAAAGTCAGCTACATGTAGTGTATTTATCTTTAAACATCACAGTGAGCTTTGTGTTGATAACAGTAAGCTTTTCAGATCTTCCCAGAGACTGGGAGAGAAAGTCAATGTGAGTACTAATTCTGCTAAGAGTCAATACTACATAAGCAATAATGTTGACCATTGTGTATGCAGAGACCAGAACCTTTCTGGAGAATCTTAAACACAGAGGAACACAAGTTTTCCCCCTTGGAGGCCTTTTAAGGCCTTTTAAGCTATGAGTCTGTTGTTGTTAGCTGCTGTCTAGTCAATTCCTATTCATGCCAACCCCATGAGTGCAGCATAGAACTGCTCCACAGGGTTTTCAAGGCTGTGACCTTTCAGAAACAGATTGCCAGGCCTGATTTCCAAGGCACCTCTGGATGGCTTTGAACTGCCAACCTTTGGGCTAGTAGTCAAGCACTTAACTGTTTGTGCCCCTCAGGGACTCTGGAGAATGAAACTCATTAAAAGGATCTATCAAATCCATCTTTCTGCTGTGATTTGATTTTGTAACGCACATTTTCGGACACTCAGGGCAAACAATGCCAAACATGGTAGCATCAGTTCTCTTAAATTTCTTACTTTCTTCATTTATGAGTTCTGTGCCAAGTTCTAGTGAAGGTCTCTGCCCTTAAGGAACACGCCGTCACCTGGAAGAGACAGACAAGGAGTTAGACATCTATGGGACTATGTGTCAAGTGTGCAGATTGCTTGAGAGCATGGACAAGAAGAAATCCAAATAAAACTAGGGTTTCGGGGAAGGCTTAATGGAAGAGGTGACCCCTATTAGATTTTGAAGGAGGAATAGAAGTTGAGTGGATAAAGAATGGAGGTGGGGGAGAAGAAGCATTCTAGGCAGAAGAAAGAGCACATTCCAGAAACAACGCAAGAACTAGGATGTGGTCAGGGGTCAGTAAATAATTAGATATGGCTGAAGCAAAGGGCATGTAGGTGACAGGGACAGGAAATGAGCCAAAGATGGGTGAATGGGGTGCATGAGCTTGTCAGGAAGGGCACATTGTATGCCAAGATAAGGAATTTAAAATAATATTGAAAACTCTAAGGTGCTTGTGGTGTAGTGAATTACTTTTATATGGCCTCTCTAGCCATGGCCTTTGTGACTCCCACAAAATGATTGGGTAGGACTATGCAAATAATGTACTTTTGGCCCACCAATGGGATTGGACAGCTTGCTGCTAATGCAAATAAGGTGCATGGAACTGTTGCAAGGGGGAGACGGTGCAAATAGCTGTATGGAACCCTAACGAGGGGATCGGTCCATTTTGCCATCAAGTTAGGCTGAAAGGGAGCCAATTCTAGAAGAAGAGAGAGAGGACCTCACTACCATCAAGAAGAAGAGCCGGGAGTGGAGTGCATCCTTTGGACCCTAGGTACCTGTGCTGAGAACCTCCTAGCCTCAGGAGACAGAGAGTTGTAACACTGAAGATAGCGAGAGATGGAGTGGTAGCAGCAATCCCGGCAGAGTCCAGTGGCAGAGAAATGGCAGCGGCAGAACCAGGAGACCGGAGCTAGATGGTGAAGGTTTCTAGGCCCAAAGAGCGAGGTGGCTACAGTGGGCATGCTGACCCATGGAGCAAGAGAGCTGAGTACCTTTGGACAGGAGGCTTCCCGGCAGAGTAGAGTGCCTCCGGGCACTTACCGGCAAAATTAAAGAGTTTCATAACACTTGCCTGAGCAGGGCCAAGGCCAGGCTGAGTCCTGAGGGGCCAAGGGCCAGAGAGAGGCCTGCCTGCTGTATCCTGAGTCATTCCTGATCCTGAATTGTAATCTGTTACTTACCTAATAAACCCCACAACTGTGAGTATGATCTGTGAGTTCTGTGTGGTCATTGGAACAAATTATGGAACCAAGCAGAGAAGTAGAGAGTGCTGTGGGAGGGATGGCTGGTGTCAGAATTGGTAAAAAGAATGGAGGAAGGAGTTACGTCTGACCTCCATCTCATAGGAATCAGCCTAGGGTTGATGTTGATCTTGATTCTCTCTCTTCCCCCTTATGAAGCTAGACGAAAAGGTCTGATGCTACCACCCTATTTTTACAGTGCTATTTAAGGAGGGGTACTAACTCTGACAACCAGGTGTGGGTTGTATTGGTGAGTAACAGACAGGAGTTATTATAATGATCATCAGGCATGAAGGGGACTTGAGCCAAACAGAACAGTTTCAAGCCTCAGTGCTTCCTGCTAACCCAGCACCCAAACACATCTCCCATTCATTCTCTTCCCCACAACTAGCAGCCAGATGAAGCCGCCCTCTCTCTCCTGGGCTCCACAGCAGCCCCCGACTGGTCTTGCTACTTCCATGCTTGCACTTTATAGTCTGTTCTCCACAAGGCAGCCAGACTGACCTATTAACAATGTAGGTTGTATCATGTCCCTTCTCAGCTTAAAACCCTTCAATGGCTTTTCATTGATTGCTCTTGGAATAAAATCCAACCTCCTTACGTTAATGCACTTGATCTGGCCCTTCCTACTTGTCTGACCTCATTTCCTACCACTCTCTGTTGTTGTCTACTCTCCTGACATATGGACCTTCTTTCTATTCCTTAAACATGCCCTCTTAGAACCTTTGTACTAGCTCTTCCTCCTACCTGGATCTTTACATAGCTTACATCTTCTTTCAAGTTTTGATTTAAATGTCACTTTTTCAGAGACTTTCTCTGACCATCGCCTCAATCTACAGGAGCTACTTGGTCATTGTCTATGAAATCACTCTGTTTCAATTCTCTGAGCCACTCTTATTAATATCTGGTATTTTCCTGTTTATAACTCCTTTGTAGTATATAGTCTCAAAAGATGACCTCCATCAATCCCGTCTCATTGTCTGTACATTCGACAATACTGATCTAGAAGTAGGTTCTATTTCCCCTCGTTTTGAATCTGGGCTGGCCTTAAGACTCCTTATTACTTTCTTTCACTGGCAGAATGTGGCAGAAAGGGTGATGTGTAAGCCGGCTGTCATCTAAGAAGTCTGACTACCCTGAGATCACCATGTCATGAGGAAGCCCAACCTCTCCACGTGGAGACAGAGAAGTCATGTGGAGGAGCACATAAGTGACAGGTATGTGAATGGTGCCTTCTTGTATCTTCCAGCTCAGGCAAGCTATCAACTGAATTGTAGATGAGTAAATGCAGATGTTTGACAGTATGAAAGCTAGAAACCAAGGAACTGAAGTGAAAAAATGAGATATTGGGGTTTTCTTTTTTGTTCTTGTTTGTTTTAACAACTTTAGGATACTGGAGTTTAACATTTTAGTTCTGAGTTTTTTTAAGAACATCTCAGATATGGACATGGCTAAAGTGGAGAGGGGATACTGAAATTGAGGAGGTAAAAGAAGCTAAGATATTGGCTGAAGATATCTATATGAAAATTAAAATTTCCCCCGGGGTGATGGCAGGACTTAGGTGACACTGGAAGTTACCACTTGAGAATTATGAGCAGACCATGGGAGCAGGTCATATCCTTGGAAAGATCTAGTTTCAGTGACGGCAAAGAGGATTCAGTGAAGAGTCTGACCGAGTAGGATGGGAAGACATGAAAAAGGGTTCAGGAGTGACCAAAGGAAGGGGTTGTCAGGGAAGGCTGCAGTGGAAGTCAAATCCGGATGGGGTTGTCAGAAATCACTGCTGGGCTGAGAGTCAAGCAGAGCACAGATGGGGCTTTCATTCTGAGCAGAAGTAAAGGATGACTAGGATGAGATCATGAGGGAAGTTAACTGACCTCAAGATTTTAGCCAGTCTGGAGGTATAAAAATTTGTTTTTCCTGCCAACACATTTGGAGGATAGATAGTGTTTGCTGTTGGCAATAGAGACAGTAGTCTAAGACCTTTGTTCAGGATTCCAAATGAAACTCTAGTGAAAGGATGCAGGCTAGGGTGTGGTTAGGCCCAAGTCAGTAAACACCCAACTAGTCTGTTGGCCTTGGCAGAACAGCTCGGAGCAGAAAAGGAAGGAGTAGGCAGGCTGAGTCCTGGCCTGGGGGCCCACCTGGACTTCTGTACTCTGTAAAGCTTGGCTTTAGGTGAAGGGTTGGCGTAGCTGGTCAGAGTTACACTATATGGAACTGACACATTAGTAGTCTTGTGGAAAGACTAACTGGCCTGAGTCACATCTTTTCAAATCCTTTAAAATAATCAACTTTATTATTATTCTTTCATATTATAAAAGTAAGTCTTGTTTAACATAAAAACGCTATTTTCCAGTCTCTAAAGCAAAAAGACCTTCCACCCCATGCTCCTGGTCCCTGCCTTCTTCCACACACAAAACGATGAGTCTGAGTAAGAGATTAAGTCTTTAACATACTATTAAATTTTCCACTTTATCTGACACATTAATAACCCAGTCACAGTCACTATGGGCCATTCTATTTCTTGCCCTGATTCTCATGTAAAATAAAGCCAAGCAAAGGATGGGTCATAGAACAAAACAATAGGTTCCTTCAACCTCTGGTGGTCTGCGATTCAAATGGAAAAGTATTTATTAAGGCTTAAATCTATTAGTCAGGTCTCTTTTGATTTCAAGTGACTGAAACCCAACATAAATTGGCTGAGGCCAAGAAAGAAATTTATTAGTTTATACAAATAAAAAATGAACATTCCAGGTAGTCAGCACAATCCAGATGCTTAACTGATATTGGCAGGAATCTCTCCCCACACCGCTCTAACAGCTTAGCTCTGCTTTTTCAGTGTCAGCTTTATCTCAGGTAAGATTTCCCAAATTGGTGATATCCAGGCGCTCTAGGCTTACTTCCTGATAACTTAGTAGCACCAGGAAATGGGACACCTCTTTTCCTGCAGGGAAATTCTGAGGTATGGTTTTCATTGGTTACGCTTGGGACACATGTTCATCCCTGAACTAGTCGTGACCAGGAAGAAGCAATGCTTTCATTGGCCAGACCAGATCCATGCCCATCTCTGGGCTAGGGTTGGTTGTGTCAGTACCATCCAAGCCACTATACAGGGAAGAGTGGTTCCTCAAATAAAAATTGTGCGTTTACCAGAAAGACGGGTATGATATGTAGGGCTGATGCAAACAACAGGTAGCTTGTACACTTAAGAATGCCCCATACTTGGTTTGATGCTCTGTGTCACTGTCTTGGAATTCTTAATAATTTTTGAACCAGAGACCCTGCATTTTCAGTTTTCACTGGGTCCCATGTAGCCAGCCCTACTGCTATACTATTGTGTATACTGGGAAGGTTTCAAGAAACACATAAAGCACAGTCCCTCAGAGTCAAGGAAACACAAGGCATGTTTGGGAAAAAGCAAGTAGTCTGTGCTGGTTGAAACTTAAAAAGGAAATAGTGAAAAGTTCATTCATTCATTAGTTAATCTACTCATCCACTTATTGATTCATTTGAAACTTGATTAAGGGGAGTCCTGCTACTGCCAGGGAGCCGGGAGAGAAAACTAAATGACTATCATGGCTCTCGGAGTCCTGGTGGTGCAGTGCTTAAGAGCTCGACTGGTAACCAAAAGGTCAGCAGTTCGAATCTACCAGCTGCTCCTTGTCCTATAGGGTCGTTATGAGTTGGAATCAACTCGACAGCAATGGTTTTTTTTGTTTGGTCATGGCCCTCAAGAAGCTCACAGTCTGTTGGAGGGAGAGAGAAGTACATGATGATTACTGCAAGCAGAGTAAGGGTTAGGACAAAGATAAGAACCGAGAGCCATGGTAACACAGAGAAGATACCACTGGAGGTGGGTACAATGCATGGCTGTCCCAGTAGGGAAGTCATGTGATTGGGTAATAGAAGCCAACAGCCACAGACAGACCACTTTGGTTGACAACTGATAGAGAAGTTTATGAAGATGTTTCCATGGAGCAGGAGAAATCACACAGTATGCTTCCAGATAGAGCTTTGTGAATGAGACATTTGTGTGAAATTAATGACACTCCCCATCATCCTCCCAGGCTTCCCACCTACCTCCCCACCTCAAGCCACTGCTCTTCAGGTCTGAATATTCCTATAATTCAGCATACCGAAGAGTGAAGAGTTTTGCAATATCATCTCAGCAGTTAAAATACATCTTACATCTTGAGCAGACTACAGTAACCATTTGAATTACCCAATGAGGAAACAACCCTGAATTCATTAAAGGAATTTTACCCTCCAATCTCTGGACTTTTCATTTATGTGAACAATTTTCACCTTCCTTTAACAGTAGGATGATTTGTCCCCACACACTTTTTTTCTAAAAATGAGAGTTTGGGCACCAATCAACTCATATTAAACAATGTGACTTTTCTCTAGCTCCTTTTTACTATTTGTCCATTTCCAGTATCACCATGGACTTAAGAGACTTTTCACATACTCAACTGGTTCCAATGAATAATAATCATTGTTTTCTTTTTGTTGCTCAAAAAACAAAATTAAGACAGGGTTCCTGCCCTCACAAAATTTACATTCTTTTTTGAAAAATGGGATCTAACATTCATGGAAAACGTAGTGAACAGGACAAGGCAGCATGTGATTGTAACTGGCTGTTCTGACATGGATCATGATGTATGTGACATTGGGCAACGCTCTTCCACACAAGCTATTCTTTTAATGCATGATTTATATGGGAGCGAAGACATTTCTTCAGGGGAGAAACTTGAATCCAGTCCACAACTGGGTTTCAGATACATACAAGCATGTCTGAGTGATAGGAGGGCACATCTAACTCTGTTCTAAGCTGGGGAGGCCCAAGCAGCGTGGATGACTCTCCAGCTGTCAAGGGAGGAACAGCGAGTGAGGACCAGGATAATTCATAGACCAACATCAGACCGCCCTAAAACAATTAATAAGGGCTTCAGATACTTATTGCTGAGTAACAAACCACCCCAAAACTTAGTGACTTAAACAGCAATAATCATTTTATTTATTCTTATCATTCTGGTTCTGGGTTGACTGAGATCAGCTGGCAGATCTTGCTCAGGCTATTCTAATCTCCGTGGTTGCAGTCCGGTAGTGGCTGCAGCTAGAGTCATCTCAAAAGCTTCTTTGCTTTTCTGATGGCTGGTGGCTGGTACCTCAAGCTGAGGCTGTCAATCAGAACATCCATATGTGGCTTCTCCATGTGGCTGGCACCCTCCTCAGTAGGATGCCTGGGTTCCAAGAGCAAGCCAGGACAGGAAAGCTGCCAGTGGCATCTCTTACCCTTATTTTAGTGATCAAGCAGTTTCAGAACCCAGATTCAAGGAGAGAGGACCTACAGCGCCACCACTGTATGGGAGTGTGTCAAAGAATTTGGGGACCAATTTTTGGAAAGGAAATCCCTGGGTGGTGCAAACAGTTCATGAGCACCGCTGCTAACAGAAAGGTTGGAGGTTTGAGTCCACCCAGAGGCCCTTTGGAAGAAAAGCCTGGTGATCTACTTCCAGAAAAATCAGCCATTGAAAATCCTGTGGAGCACAGTTATACTCTGACACACATGATGTTGCCATGAGTCAGAGTGGAGTCAGTGGCAACTGGTACTGGTTTTGGGGGGAAAGGGCACTTTTCAAAACTGAAATGCTAAGTTTTTTGAGTGAGAAGTGCATCACAAGAATTTTCTCATGTAATTCTCATAACAATTATTAAGATCATTGTACAAATAAGCAACAGGCTCAGAGAAACCAAATGACTTGCTTGAGGTCACACAGCACTCCAGCTCCAAGTTCTGTGTGCTTAGCTACTACTCTCTGTTGGGTTCCAAATGCCTGGGGAAAGAGAAATGTCCAAGAGGCTGAGATCCTGAGTGGGTAGGGCCCCTGAGCAATCCTCAATTGGGCACTAATATGAATCTGACAGAAGGTCTTCAGTCATGGAGCCACAACACTCAGGTTATGTACTCAAATGCTAAATTGCAGGATATAGCCTCTTCTCCAAAAAGGAATTTGGAGATAGGAAAGTCATTGGTGATGTCTGATCTACCCACGGAAGCTCTTTGCAGGTTCAGTGGAACTTTCTTTAGCTGGGTCTTGAAGAGCAGGTAGGACTTGGAGTTGCAGAGAGCAATGGGAAAAGAATTACTAAGGTTTGCTTGTAGGGGCTCTCTCTCCAGAGTCCTTAGGCAGGACTAGGCTTTGGGGCTTCACTTGCTCCAAGGGAAGCCCCTTTTCCTGATGCAGCACATCAGGACCTCATATTAAAAATAAGTTGTTCCTTAACTAGGTAATAGATAAGAATTATCTTAGGTGAAGGCAAGGACAACACACAATACAGGAGAAATCAGCACAACTGGACTAAACTAAAAGCTAAGAAGTTTCTTGAATACAACCAAATATTTCGAGGGACAGAGTAGCAGGGGCAGGGGTCTGGGGACCATGGTTTCAGGGGATCTAGGTCAATTGGCATAACAAAGATTATTAAGAAATTGTTCTGCATCCCACTTTGGTGAGTGATGTCTGGGGTCTTAAAAGCTAGTGAGCGGCCATCTAAGATGCATCAATTGGTCCCAACCCACATGGAGCAAAGGAGAATGAAGAACACAAAAGACACAGGAAGATATTAGCCCAAGAGACAGAAAGGGCCACATAAACCAGAGACTTCATCAGCCTGAGACCAGAAGAACTAGATGGTGCCCAGCTACCACCAATGACCGCCCTGACAGGGTTCACAACGGAGAGTCCCTGACAGAGCAGGAGAAAAGTGGGCTGCAGAATTCAAATTCTAGTAAAAAGACTAGTCTTAATGGTCTGACTGAGACTGGAGGGACCCCGGAATACATGGCCCCTGGACTCTCCTTTAGCTCAGACCTGAAACCATTCCTGAAGCCAACTCTTCAGACGAAGATTAGACATGGGGACATAAAATGATACTCTTGAAGAGAGTGCTTCCTAGCTCAAGTAGATTCATGAGACTTAATGGGCAGCTCCTGTCCAGAGGTGAGATGAGAAGGCAAAAAGGAACAGGAGCTGGTTGAATGGACATGGGAAACCAGGGGTGGAAAGGAGGAGTGTGCTGTCACATTATAGGGAGGACAGCTAGGGTCACATAGCAATGTGTGTATAAATTTTTGTATGACAAACTGACTTTAACTGCAAACTTTCATTTAAAGTACAATAATAGTTAAAAAAAAGTTGTTCATTCTTTACTTCACTTTAGGGCATGTGGTTTGATGAAAAGACATCAAGTTAAACTAAAACAGTTCTATTCTACTACACATAAAACTTAGACATGGTTGTGTTGATATATGGTCCTCTCCCAGAAACCAAAGAAGTTTCCTCAGCAGGAAACCTCAGTGGCATGTCCCCTCCATGTGAGGGTGTGTTGAAAAGGGCAGAGAGTAGATTCACAGAAAAAAAATTGGAGCTACAACTTAATTTTGGCATGATCATGCAGCTGGAAGGTCAAAACAAAAAGCTATAGTTAAAGGTCCACTTGGAAAGATTGCATGAGACTCTTTGATCTTATCGGCCAGGACGCTGAGGCCTCAGGGCCCTTGAGTTTATCTTGTGGTGAGGCTGCTGGGTTTCTGAATATAGGCCTGTAGTTACAGTGTAATTTCCTGCCCTGCTGTCTGCAGTGTGGGCACGGTCTGCATCAGCCAGCTCTGCTGGGGGGAAGGGAGAGGGCTGTGGCTACAGCCTTCCAAAATCATCCAAATTAGACCCAGAAAGAAGAGACTTCGGAGGCCCAGAAACTCCCTGAGGAAATCCTGAAAAATGTGATGAAGAAAAGTGCCTCCTTCCTTAAAGTGAAGGCAGTTTGTCCATGGAGCCATGAAGTTATGTGATGGGCTCAAGAATTACTCCCAGTGGTGAAGATAAAATAGACCAACAATTACTCTCAGTGGTGAAGATAAATAGATGCTTAACTTGTTGGTGGCGGAAGTGCACCCCATGACCAAGAGAGTGTCCAGGAGAGCTTTGTTTCCTTTGCATACAATATGCTTACACCCAGAGACAGCAAGGCCAGCCTTCAAGTTCAAGTTTAAAGGAGACTATTCGTTGCCAGCTGGCTACTTTAAAAAACATTTTTTAACCCAAGAAATAGATGCTGATTATAGAAAAACAATAAAATTTGTAGAAAGGAGACAAGAAAAAAAAAAAGTCACCTGTAACCTTATTACCAGAAATAATCTCTGATATTATTTTGATATATATATTTATATTTCCAGACTTTTTTCTATGCATACATATGTATGTGTTATGGGTTGAATTGTTGAAGTCCTAGCCTCTAACACTTATGAATGTGACCTTGCTTGGAAATAGAGTCTTTGACGATGTTATTAGCTAAGTTAACATGAAGTCATGCTGGAGTAGGCTGGGCCCTAACCCAATATGACCAGTATCCTTATTCGAAGAGAAGAGGCATAGAGACACACATGGAGGGAAGACAGTCATGTCAAGGCAGAGATTGGAGTGAGAATTTCTATTTCCCTACGTCCTCACCAATTAAGAGGAAGACATTTTTCATTTTCTGTTTTCAGTAGGCCTGTATGTGGCATTGTTACTTCTCTGCACAACTAGATTCAGAGTACCTGTCTCTCTCTTTGGAGATAATCTTTCTGGGATCAGGACCATCCCTTCTGGAGAGCCAGGACTCTGTTTTCCTGACCGATTGCAGGACAGCAGCCTCATCCCTGTCTTCCAAGACGGACTGAGGTTCTGGGCCTTTCTCTGCCTGTTCCTGCATTTTCCCTTTCCTTCCATGCTGCAGAAGAAGTTGTAGTGTGCAGTTGTCAGCAGCATGGGCAACGCTCTTGGGGACCCTGTCCCAAGCCCTCTGTGCCAGGATCATCCCTGAATGCATGGTTCATTCAGAGGCATGGGGAAAAGGTTAGAGCTTTGCATCTTCTGTGCCATCTCAGGTGTGTTCCAGCTGACAATTCATTTTATAGAAAAAAAGTTCGAGGGATAGAACTAGGAGGTAAAAATAGCAGCCTGGTGCTGACTGGGCACATTGACCTTGACCAAATCACCCAGTACCTTGTCCACCAGAATAGCTCTCCCACAATGAGCAGTGGAAGTCAGGATGAGTAAATTGCGCAGAAATCATAAAGGGAACGTGATATGATCGTGCAGTCTGTTGCTGTCTCTCTTGTTATGAACTCAGGTTGCTGAATATCAACTCACGTCTGAGCTGTGGTTTCCTCCTTGTTTTGAAATCTACTTACTAGAAGATAATGCCTTCAAATGGCTTCTTGTTCACATCTTCCTCAGGAACCACTAGCTGTTTCCTAATAATGATTTTCTGGTAGGCCTGGCCCCTTGGCAAAGCAAGGTTTCCAGTGGGATTTTTTGCAAAAATTCTACTTTTCCAGTCCCTCTGGAAACCGAGGATACTGGGCATCAGCACAGCAGAGAAACCCAAACCAAGCAAGTCACAGATTTTCCAGGCATGTCTGGCTTCTGGGCCTAAGCAGGCAGCATTCCTGAGAGCCTAGGATGGTTTGTGTGTTTTCATAAGAACAAACCAATAACCTTCCAAGTCGTACCCTCTCTTACCTCTCTGAGAGGCAGCCATGGTCTCTGAATGAAGATAATAGCAGGGCCTTTGGGTGAGTTAATCACACCAAATATAAGCCAGCCTTATGACCTAGAAAAGGAAACAGGAAGCGGCTTAGAAATATAAAGAGCATAGCCCAAGGAGGGGCTGCAGTAGAATTCCACTCAGATGAGATGGTGTACAGTGGGCAAATGCCAAGGGGCTGAGATGAAGCTTTGCATCTTTTCTTTCCCTTCTTTATCATGATGCCCTTGGCAGGGCTCTACCATCTGAATGGGAAGTGGGATGTCTTTCTGGAGGAGTGGTGTGGGGGTACTGGGGTGGGGGACTACTGCTCATCAGTAGCCCCTCTCCAGAGTGGGCCCATCTGTGGGATGTCATGCTCTCTCCCCTCTTTACAAGTGGTCTTAGGTTCTTGGGATGATTTTTGCCAACCCTTATAAACCTAAACCATTAAGAGGTGCTCCCAACTAGAGGAATGTACATGCAGCAGCTTTCGGGAGCTTCTAGAGGGCGCCCTGAGCTGATAGGGGAAGAGCTTCCTCTCATTTGTGTGGAGAAACAAAAGGTCATTGTCATCCCTAGATTCCCAGAGGGGGATCTCAGATGGGGAGGCTACCTCTGTCTTGGGCATAGACCTGTCATTCTGACTGCAGGTGGGGTGGCTGCATCGGTTGGGAAGGAGATCAGAGGGTCACCTCCTAGTAGATGGTGGTCACCACACAGGACTTCCTGTGCTCTTCTTTCTGGTTCTCCCAGGGCCCAAGGGCAGCTGCAGGGCTTGGTGGAGGCTGAGACTAGGGCTATTGCTGCTTCCCTTAGAGGTGGCTGGCACTGTGAAGACATCCCAGCTGTTCCTCAGAGCCTCGTGGCTACCTTTCTCAGGCCCCATCCCTGATCCTCACTAATGGTGGTGAGAAATGGAATGCTTTTTTATATTTTCCCATAGCACTTGGCACAACGCTGGACTGACATGCAGCTGTGGCAGGGCAGGCCCTGGAGGAGGAGCCCACTCAAGAGTCACATCCACCGTCTTCAAATGCCTCTGTCATGAAGACCCTGCTGAAGACCATCTTCCAACCAGCTTCTCAAAGTGTAGTCCTCAGGCCACCAGTGGCAGAATCATGAGATGGGAGTGGGGGCTGTTAAAAATGTTAATTCTTAGCCCCCTCTACAGTTATCCAAGGATCTCTGGTCGCACAATGGTTAAGCACTCGGCTGCTAACCAAAAGGTCAGTAGTTTGAACTCACTAGCCACTCGAGGGAGAAAAGACCTGGCAATCTAATCCCATAAAGATTACATCTAGAAAACCCTATGGGCCAGCTCTACTCTGTCACATAGGGTTGCTATGAGTCGAAATTGACTCAATGGCACACAATAACAACAAAAGTTCTCCAGAATCTAAATCTCTCAGGGAAAGTCCTGGAAATCTGTGTTTGTAGAAGCACCTCTTTCTTCAAATTGGCCAGCCCATTAAAGTTTAAGACCCTTCTCTATACCAATCCTGGGTTTCATTTTGTTATTTTTGCTAGTTGCCGTTGAGTCAATTCTGACTCACGGCGACCCCATGAACCCACCCAGAAATGCCTTGAAAGACAGACCTGGTGATCTGCTTCCAAAAGGTCACAGCCTTGAAAACCCTATGGAGCAGTTCTATTCTGCACACATGGGGTCACAATAATGGCTTCACTTATTACCATGAAAATAATTTGTTTTCTTTTCAAACTTTTGTGACCTCTGAAAATGAAATCTGAACCACAGGGATTCATTTACAAAAGAAACATCACCTATGGCCTTAAGGGGCAAGACTGAATCACGGTTTTTATCAGGGGATTTGAAGGAAGCCAAGCTTTGATTATCAGACTGCCCGTATCTACTTGTCCATTGACCTGTCACCATTAAAGACACCTCCCCAGCTTTTCCTTCTCTCATTTTTCCCACAAGAAAATGGTTCTGCTGCTCTTAGAAGTTGTGCTGTTGAAGTCCACTAGCACAGAGACAAGTGAAAGTAAACTTCTTCACATTCCCTGGTAGAGCAGGAATGGAACTCATCAGTGTTTCCACAGAGAAAACGTTGACCCCAAGGAAGTGTATGAAGAGCCGAAAAGGATGGCATGATGAAGATGTAGGGGAAAGTACCAAATACCCTTTGCACTGCTACCCCCACCCCCCGGTCCTCTCCTGCCTTCTCCAGCCTTCTCAGAGCTCCTCCTGAGGGCTTAATGTACCAGCCCTCTGAAAAGAAAAAAGAAACAAAAAAAAATTCTGGATTAATTGCCTCAGTCAGTTTCTGTGGTGTAAATACTCTCACCATGGCTGATATCAAGATACCAATGGTTTAATTTAACAACTGGCTCACAAAATTCTTGAGTATTTGTTAATCTTCTCTTGCAAACCAGGAGGAGCTGGTTTCGGCACCTAATCATCTCAGCTCTGACCCAGGAAATCCCCAGATCATGCCAAGGGTACACATCACTTTCAGTGTCTCAGTCAGAAGGACCAGTGGTTGAAGTATGCCCAGACTGCTATGATTAAACATCACAATCGTGAATGTGGAAGGACAGGATGCAGGGGGTGATTATTTGTCTGCAAAATTGGAGATGCATCTTCATTTCTCAGTCTTGGTGTCTCATCTCTCCAGGGATGGGGAAGTGGTGGGGAGCCCTGTTAATGCAGAGCTTCTCGTGAGCAGTCACTGGCAGTACTAATGCCTGAGGCCTCACAGGGCTGGCTCTCTCACAGGGCTCTCCCAAGCTCTCTCTCTCCTTGCTCTTTCCTGTAAAATCCTGTGATCCCACACCAGAGAACAGAATGCTCCATCCCTAGCTGGACAAATTTAAAATGGAAGACTGTGGGAACCATTTTGGATTCTGAGTCCTGTTCTACTGTATCCTATAGGGTCTCTCTGAGTTGGAATTAACTGGACGGCAGTGAATTTTGGGTTTGAGTCCTGCCTTTGGGCTTGGGAGGTGCTAAAATGGACTCTTTCTTAAAAGGCTAGCCTCATAAAGATTCTCTGATCAAGACCTGAGGGCTGAAAACAGCCTGAACTGATCTTTTTCTGATTTTTAGGGAATCTTGAGAACAAGGCTTGGGGATAGTGCTCATAAAGCTGAGCTTGACCAAATGAGCCCACAGCTTCTGACGTCAGAAGTCACACAACTCTTCCTCCCCCTTTAGGGCCTGGGGATGACGCCAGGCGGAAGGAAGGAGGGTGACCTACTTTTCCTCCCAAAACATTGGGCAGCCACTTGCGTTTTCAGATCTAAAACTCACCCACACAGCTGCAGTTTCTTTTCCTCTGCCGTCCTGGGCGTGCTTCTGGCTGGAGCCGATTTTATAAAGTGGAGTTTGCCATGGGAGTTCTCCTCAGAGAGGCTGGTTTGGCAACTCAGTCCACATCCTTCCCAGACCTTTGACATGGGCATTGGGGCTGCGGAAATCCTGGCAGGTGTACAGCACAGGAGAATCTGGTTTTGACCTGATCTCGGTCAGGAAAGTCAGTTAAAGAAAAGTCTTACTGGCGATGGCCTTGACTGTGGGACCTCTCTAGTATTCTAGTACTCAAAGTCAGTAGGTTGACAAGTATTTAGTGAGGGCCTACTAGGTGTCATACACTGAAGAGACAATGATGAACAAAGGAAAGTCCCTGCCCTCATGGAGCTTACAGTCGAGTTTACAGAGAAAGACAGTCCTTACGCAAATAATTATAAATAGTTCAATAATTACTAGGGTGCAAAGAGCTTTGAGGGGGACATTGGTGGTTCAATGGTAGAATTCTCACCTTCCATGTGGGAGATGTGAGTTTAATTCCCAGCCAATGTACCTCAATCACAGCAACCATCCGTCAGTGGAAGTTGCGTGTTGCTATGAAGTTGAACAGGTTTCAGCAGAGCTTCCAGACTAAGAGGGACTAGGAAGAAAGACCTGGTGATCTAATTCTGAAAATCAGCCAGTGAGAACCCTATGGATCACAACAGGCTGATCCACAAGCAATCATGAGGATGATTTGGGACTAGGCAGTGTTTCATTCTGCTGTGCATGGGGTCACCTTGAATCGGAACCGACTTAGTAGCTAACAACAACAACGACAACAACAACAAAAGTGCTTTGAAGAAGAAGCACAAAGTGCTATGGGAGCATAAATGCAGATGAAGGCCTAATGCAGACAAAGGGATACGGGGAGGGTTTCCTGAGGAAGTGAGGTTGAAGCTAAGCCCTGAGGGATAAGGTTGGAAGGGAAGATCCTTCAGTGCACAAAGAATTTATGCTTCCAAAACATTCTCTTCTCAAGGATTAGTTTGGGAGTTTAGATAGTAACCATCCTCCTCCTTTCATATACAATGTGGTGGAGACCACTGGTTGCCCCCCAGTATTCCTTCTTCTTTTCTTAATAACAGATTCCCAGTTTTTCTAGGTACATAGCTAACCAGAGGAAAGATTATATGGCCATGTTACTAAGTTCTGGCCAATGAGATGTAGGCAGAAGTAATGTATGGGATCTCTGAGAAGCCTCTTTTCTGCTATCTGGTGTCTGGATATGATGGCTGGAGGCTGAGCAGCCATCTGGAACCAAGAGGAGACATGCTAAAGTTGGGGGAGCAGTATATTAGGTGGAACCTGGTTTGCTGATAACCACAGGGTTTCCATACCAACCCTGGATTGTTTGTCTCTAGATTTCTTTTATGTGGGAGATAAATAAAGGTCTATCTTTTAAAGCCACTATTATTTTGGGATTTTCTGTCACACACAGCCAAACGTAATGCTAATACACACAGCTTCCTTTCTGCCTAATTAAAAGGTAATTTATCTGCACTACACACAAATCACCTATTTTATAGAAAAGTCTATAATAATAATAACAATAATATCTATTTTCCTAGCCTCCTTCCTCCCCCTCCTGGTCTCCTTAACCCCATCCCCACCCCCTAAACCTTTTCTCTTTTCTGACTCCCACATGACAGTTTTCAGTGTTTCTGCCTTCGGGAATGAGTTAAGCTCTTGACCCAAATGCTCTCCAGGCTCCTGCTACCTTCCCTTCATAGCTGCCCTGGCAAGGGTTCTGCTGCAGAGAATCACACCAAGTACAGGGAGGCAGCCAATCTTCCCTGCCCTTCTCACCCTTCCAAGAAGTTGTGGGGAGTTAGAAGGCAAAGCTGAGAAGCCACAAGAAGAACTGGAGATGCTTTAATTGCACCTGCCTGCATTGGGCTTTTCAAACTATGCAGGCTTTAATTTGTCTCTTTCCCTAGTCTCTGGCTAAACGAGTCCGAGAGGTCAAGATTGAAGCGGAGAAGGTCAGTATGTCTGGTTATAAACCTTGGGGGCAGGCCAGGGTGAGTGCAGATTTCAGGATGCTGGGGTCGGGTAGGATAAAGCCCCTTGAGTTCCAAGTAACAGAAGAGTTTAGTGGCAGCTATTGGTCTACAGTGATTTTCCTGCTGTCTCATATGGGGGTGTAAAGACATCGAGAACAGCTAACCTTCTGTATTTCTCTGACTGATAGGGAGTCAAGGAGAAGCACAAACAGCCTCGTGGCCTCTGAAGGCTGCATGCCTTTGAGAAGTCTTTGTCTTTCAGAGAAGCTATATTTGCAACAGGGGTCCCTGAGTGGTGCAAACAGTTAAGCGCTTGACTACTAGACGAAAGGTTGGCGGTTCAAACCCACCCACAGGTGCCTCAGAAGGAAGGGCTGGTGATCTGCTTCTGAAAGGTCACAGCCTTGAAAACCCTATGGGGCACTGTTGTACTCTGACACACATGGGGTCGCCATCAACATTATTTAAACCAGTAACAACAATTAAAAAATAGTGCTTACTATGTGCCACGCACTATCGCTAGTGCTTTACATATACGAAGTCCTTTAATCATTGTAACAGATGAGGAAACAGAGTCACAGAGAGGTCAAGCAACTTACTCAAGGTTAGCAGCTAGTAAATGGGGAAGGTGGAATTTGAACCCAGACAGACTGCCTCCAGAGCATACACACTTAACTACTACACTTTTAAGTCTGTGAGTTAGAAGTTAGGCTCATTCCATTCAATCCTGTTGGGCACAGTAGTAGTTCCTGATGGAGACTGAGGTGCTGAGTGAAAGTCCATTCTCAAACCAGGTACTTTGCCACAGAGTCTCCAGGGTGTGCGTGTGGCAATTTCAACCCGCTTGTTGTGTCTGCAACAGATTCTCATCTCTTCCCATGCTCATTTCTGGGGCTCTCATCTGGCCAGGCCAGGCCAGGCGTCTCCCCTGATCATCCCTTTTGGCAGAGGACCTCGGGGAGTCCTCTT